TCTCCAAGAGTGTTACTGATATTGTGTCGAATGCATAATCGGGAAGATTGAGACGTTTTGATAGAGGTAGACTTGGGGCTGATTTCGCTTGGGCTCTGCGATTATTGAGACAAATCCTAAATGGTGTTTCTGTTTGTCTTATGTACACTTGACATCGAATATTCTAGCGTTATGGCTAGCGGCGACGTAGGTTTCTAAATAATAATCGAAAAGGAGTACGAAAGGTCGTCTTGGATAGCAGGGGTGACTGCCGCAATGTAAGCTCAGGTGTGGAGGCCGCTGATCCTTGTGCACCACTGGACGTAGTATCAGGTGACACAAAGATGGTTGAGGACCAGGCAAAAAACTTTCTGAGCTACCAGAAGGTTAGGTCACAAGCACTGGTCCAAGCAGACAGGATAGCATCGAAAGTACACTCAAGCGCATCCGATGACATGGTCGTGCAGGATAGCCAACATGGTAAGGAAGATATCATTGAGTTCAACACTCATTTCGTTGAACATGAAGTAGGAGATGACAACAAATTGCAAGGGCATTAATTTCTCAGAAGCGAGGAATCTGGTACGTTTCCTGTGGCGTCTTGTGGCGCAGAATGCACTCCATTTGAGTTGTCAGACGAGTTGAGCACTTGTAGAAGAGCGCCAGTTGTCGGCTTGTTTGGGAGGCTCACTTTGTTACTACCTACGGGCTGTGCACGCAGCTGATGCCGCTTTTTGTATGTAAATCTTAGTTCTATTGATGCTACGGAAGCAGCTGGGCTTGCGCAGGACTCCATGCAGATTTACACAGAGGTGTCTGGTCATATATGCTCCCGAGTGTCTCGATTACTCAGCTGTGCGGGCCAGGCGTATGCCACCCGTCTCGTGTGGGACGCCATAACTTAAGCATACAGTTTTATAGTCAATTGCCCTGTCTGAAATTAGACTTTTCAAAACGAACTGGCATACTTTGTAGATAGTTGAGTGGAGTGTAAACTTGATCGGTGGCTTAATGCGTTTAATGTTTTAATGTTTAGCGATCAAGCGCATAGCTTCTGTAGGAGTTATTTGGTTGTATAGTGAAAGTCGACACTAAAAGAAATTTACTTATTGGGAAGTTCTTAGCTGTGACCGGGCTTCCCAAATAGCACATATAACTTGCATATGTTCACTGAACTTAAGGACACTATAGTTATGACGGCATTGATTATGATTCTTAAGCTGACGATTAGTAACTGAAGTGTGTCCGTATAGGCAATTTTGTGTGCTGTTCAGAGCTTACGAATGAGTTTTGCGCACTGGGCCGTAGTTTTTCGCAAGAAAGCTTTTCAAAAAGGGGGCCTGTGTGATAAGTGCAGTGCATACGTTAAGTGAGTGCCTCGGAAAGGTGCGCGACACTAAAAATCAGAAGACAAACAAAGCACATGCAAACATAAACCGGGTGAAGACGAGGAACATCGGCACGAGGGCGCTACATCAGCAACATAAGAGGAAAGTGGCCCAATCAGCAGTTCGTACGGAGTTCTGAGGGGCCCAAGTACGTGTTGATGCGGCAACCCAGGTAACTCGAATGAGAAGCTGCGGGGTCGACCCAAGGAGTGCCATGCAGTTGGGAATGTGGTGTTCGTTCGGGCAGAAGCAAGGTGGAGGCAGTTCGCCAGTGTCACGGTCATGGTTTGCCTCGAGTACCTGGCAGAGGTCAGGAGACAGCACGGCCTGTTTTGCTTGACCTCAAGCTTAGATGGTTCACGGAGCCAGTGGGAAGCTATCGCAGCCACCAGGTCCACTGTCTGGTGTTAGCCCGAGTGCTTGGCTGTGGCTCCTGGTGCGCACATCCGAGGAGAAGACTGCCTGATTTTGTTGGCCCTGTCTTCGGCACCTACCTGCTCCCTTGTGCCTTCATCTGAGCGTCGCCATGCTCTTCGCCGAATTTCTCTGGGGACGGCCTTTCCATGCACATATCTGCTCGCCGTAGATGTCTGCGACACCTCAGTAAACAGTAGAATCTCGATGGTACGATTAAAGTTAATGCGAATTTCATGACGATGTGAATTTTAAGGTTGCTTCGGATGGACTACATTATATAAAATACGACGCGATTCGGTGTCATATGAACGGTTTCCCCAGGCACCGCGGATGATACGAAAGCGTGATTGACTGCTGCACGCGAATGGCGCAACCCGGCTTGTCTGTAGGAGAAAGGCTCATTGACACTGTGCTTCGAAGGGAGTGAACACGGCAAAACTCACAGGAACTTCCTTCACTTCGCCACCAAAGTGGCTGGAAAACCATGCCGCAAGGCTGATATGACAAAATCGGCCTGAGATTAATTTTATCGCCCCACGATAGCAGAACGCCTTTTTGCTTCACGGCTTTGGCTACACAGGCTGCACTAGCTACGGATCATGCCCTTATATTTGGTTCAACCCACTTATGTTTGGATTCATACTAAAAGCAACACCTTGACCAAATATGAATATTCCGGCAATACCGTTCTACTTCCCCAAGCTTTGACTTCACCATTTGGCACTCATGCCACATCTTCACAAAATGAGCAACAGCTGCTCTCATGTTTTGCCATGTGAATCTTTGACTCAAAGTTTATAATCTGTATGCAGGTGAAATGACCCATCTAGCCTTTTCCTAATAGTGAATTTAGGTTCGAAGTGAATAGTGATTTTGGTCGAATAACTTCAAATGAAATAATATATATATACTATTTGAGTGGAAGTTACACATGTAGGATGCTATCGAGAGAGACTCAAGATGTTATGTCCAATTTATCACGAACATATCAAAATAGATAAGCGATTGTATATTAAACTGTGCAACCGGCGCCCAACCTGTTCATCTCATTCATTCAAGTTAATCGAATGTTCATGCCGAACCAACTTATTGAAGCAATAGTTTTTCCCCCAAGCAATCCATGAATGGAACGTCCCGTCAGAAAATGTACTGCAGAGCCCAACTATGTCGTCGTTCGTGATCGCTCTCGCTACTTTACGACGTGAGGTGTTTCACATATCTGTCGTTTTCAGATGACGTGCGATATTGAAATAAAACTGATAATAACACTGCTCTTTTTGTTTTCAAGCAGACCACAGAGTGAAGATGCACTCTTTTACACTTTTTTTCCTTGTAATTTTTATTTGCCTTAAGGGGGCAGACTGGTCTTAGACATTTTTTGTTTATTTCTTCAGTGATCTTGATAAAACTGCACAGGGTTATACAGTTTTTTCTGCTGATTTCAAATATGTAATTAGTTTTCCTGTAACTCACTTTGTTGCTGAGATAACTTAAGTTCACTCCCTATTGTTTAAGGCCACCATAGAAAAAAAAGTGCTTAATTAAAAGTGATATTTAGGACATGCCAACATAGACTAACGACTATAGAGTGAAAGTATGGAAGAGGTTTTTGTTTTTAGACCTTTATTGATTATTTTTGCAGCAAAATGAACTATACATTTTCAAAAGCAGTTGGAATTGTGTTACAATTTTGATTAGTAATTAATTAAACAGGCATGTGCTCTAAATTTTGCTCCCATACTTGCATTCTACACACATACAGGTTTCCACTGCAAATAGAAATATTGCTGTACCTGCCCTAGCTGCAGAGTTATTGAGGCCTCAAAATTGAATAGTCACAAATTTACTTTTTTGAGAAAAATGGAAAAAACTGAAAACACACAGTTTCTTCAAAAAGCAACGATCATGGTGCGCATGTTTAGCAATCCTCACAAAGGCGCTCATAAATTTGTAGTAGAGCTTAGAGAAAGGGGCTGGCAAATTATAAAGAAGCCTCAAAGTCGGTTGCCCATTTTTTTTGCAGGTTCTGCATGTTAACAGCACCAAGAATCTGGACAGTTAAAATGACATTACAAAAAAATTACTACTTCTTGGTGCGTGAAAATTTGCAGAGAGATAGAAAAATACTTGCAAAAACCAAATATGTCAATTTTAAAAAATGAATATGTTTGTCACTTTTTGGTCCCAAAGAGCAGTCTGCCCCCTTAAACTGTCAATATCATTTTGCGATCTCTGTATTTTCTTGCCAATATGTTATGTACACTATCGTGTGTTTTTTTGGGTTTCATTGCCTCCTGTGTTTTCGCATAGTGACAAGATTGTTGAACACTGTTATTATTTTTCACAGATTTGTTTTCATTATGTTCAGAGATTGTTAAACATTTTCTTTTGTAGATTCCATTTCTGCCTATGGCTTGTAATATAAGCTGGCAGTATGAAATAAATAACATATATATTATAAAGAAAAACGGGCACATTTGTCATTGCCTATTGAACATACACAATATATTAAAAAAATTGAAATGAGGCCTATGCAAATGCCATTTTCTTGCATCACAACTTTTTTTTGAAACAACATTCTTGAAACAACTTTGCATAGTAGCAGGAGTTGAATTTCGGTACAATGCAAGTGACAGCCCGTAAATTATGTGATTTTAAAAGTTATAGAGACAAGTAGAGAGATTTTATTTACAGAAAGGTAGAGAAGTCGGTTTTTTCCTATACTTAGAGCATATAAGTCAGTATAACAAGCTATTAAACTTTTAAAGAATTAATGTGGAAGTAATATTTTCACTTAAACCTTGAAGAGAAACGTTGGAGCAATGCGGATTTCCCCTGGATATGTCTTTTCACGGCTTAGCACTGTTTTACTACAGTGAAACCACCTTAACAAGGTACGACATGCGGATATAAATACACCTATTATTTGTTTTGAATCATTCAAAATTACCAATTTTAATTCCATTAAAAGCAAATTCCAATACTGCATTATTCGTTCAAATATTTGAAGCATCCGTATATTCGTGCAAGCCTACACCCATCTTCTTTTCGAACAAATGAATAGGACATCAATAAACAACGACAGTCGCATTGTCTGCGTGAAAACTTTTACAAGATTGAATGCCTGCTGCCCGTCAGGTACACGGATCACTTTATCAGCAGTGCTTCTCAAAACATACTTCAGAAAATAAAGTTACAGAAAAGAAACCCGAACACTTAAATCAAGAATCACTTTTTATTACACCATATTTTCATTGTCTATCCCACATAAAAAAAAGTAGCGAGAAGGCACGGGATTCGCATCATGTTTTTAGCGCCATGTAAGCTCGAGAAAGTGTGCCCTATAATGCTAACTAAAGAACGAATAATGCTAACTAAAGAAAAGAACCCCAGGCCTGCGTAGAAGCACATAAACACATCAATGTTATGTATGTGTATTTTTTACGTAGAAAAGGCATACATAAGTAACTCTAAGGACCGTAGCGTTTATCACACTGCGCTGACCATGCAATGCTTGCTCAAAAAGGCAAGTGTTTCCGATGCTTTGCTAAGACGACACCGTGGTGGCACCTACCCGTCGCCTTGCATTCTACACCTTACCACCTCAGAGATGGGCGCGCACGCCGTGCACTCCGTTTTCCAAGATAACTGCCAGATAGCGCTCATGTATCATGCGTGGCCTGACTTGATGCGCTCGTTCGCATCCGCTGCACGCTCGAAGCACTCTAAGCAGCGCCTGCAGAATACCATGCACCGATTTTCTTGCACAGAATATCAAATGAATGTTTCGTTCACTCTCTTCAGACGCAAGATTATCGTCTTTCGACGACATTTGCAGTGTAATATGCAGATACGGGCCAATTTTTTTATGTGGCTGACGGTATCGTTGATGTAAAAGTAGTTAAATAAATGTTTTTAGTTTGGGCTCAACAGCGTCGGCTGTGTTCGTTTGCTCTGAGGGTGGCTCTCATTACGAGACCTTACAATGTCTGTGCTTCAAGTGTCCCTATTCTGTGTGCCTAACATGTTGTCTTCTTTCCACAGTTTAGATATGTCTTCAATGTCGATTAACCAACTAGCCCAACAACATGCATTACTTGATCCAAAATATTGGCAGCATAATGAAGAACTGTAAACACAACACCCATGTGCACATTACAATTCCATTTTCTTATGGGGCTATAAACCTTTTAGGACTTCCCTATCTCTCTGCTCAGCAAAACTGTGCTATAAAGATATCAGCTAATAATCAACAATTGTGAACCAGAGGATATGAGTGTAGCTGTGAAAACAAAATGCAGAACCATTGTTAGTACTCCCTTAAAAAAAAAAAGCAACACTTGTAAGATGTATGTGCTTAGTCGTTTCATGCATTCCACTACAGAAACCCAGGAGTGCATTAATAGAAATGCACACATACGAGCGCTTATTTGAGAAAAAAAACAGCCTAGCGCCCAACTTTTCCCAGGCGGGTGTCTGTCTTTGGATTTGCGGTGATGGCCTGCACGGCCACAATGGCTTCGTTGATGCGTGTTTGCAGGTCACGCAGGTCCTGCACGTACAGCAGTCGCAGCACCTTGGCGGCATGGTTCAGCACAATGTCTGCACCAATCAAGACAGAGCCTGATCAGCTTCCACATATGATTGACTTCGCAAGAAGACTACCTGCACAAAATACAATACGGGGAACATCTCCAGCTCATCTAATCACTGTTTCCATCTGCTCACAAAGCTGGCTTGGTCTGTAGCACTTACCACGTATCTCCGAAGGATTAACGAGACAAAGTCAAATAACAGTAGCTATTACAATTCAATATTACTATTATATTGCCACATTCTTTCCTCCCCATTACACAGTCAGTAATTATTAGAGCTAACCCAACAGTGTTCAGGAAGCTTGTAGTAGATTGTTTTGTTAAGATTACGCCCCCTTCGTGAACATTACAGGTTATTCTAGAACCTACGTGGCCACTAGGGATAATGCTACAATATCTGACCATCCCCAGGACTTCTACACATGTACATGTTGTGCCATCTCTCGACGGCAGCTGGTGCGCCCCATTGTATCTCAATGGGAAGCGCACGAAAAACAATCATATCTCATGAACGAGACACAATATTAAAAACAACTCCCGGTTTGAGATACTACAGAACCACTAGAAAATTTAGAGCATTATTTTAATAACGTGCCACTAAGTTTCTTTCTTCCCAGGCCATCTGTTATTTACAAACGCTCGGAAGGCTCTGTAAGAAATAATGTGAAAGCGCAACTGAGCTTTATTACTAAATTAATCAGGATATTATGTGATAAGAAGGAGGGATATCTAGTTGTTCTCGTTGCAGCGCGATGGGGCGAGGACAGGAGGTACGGAAAAACGAGTGGCGGTGGCTCCCTCGAGGCAGCAGCCGCAGCAAATTAGCTGGTGGTTGTCACAAAAGTGACACACTCAGTTGTTTTAATCAGTGTTTTTTGAATCTCATTTATCACAGTGATTACCTATTGCATATTTAGTAGAGTGTGTAGGAGCTATCTAGTTAAAAAGCCAATTGAATTTTCGTGTGCGTGCCGAACACCTGTCTTTTTTTTTTTTTCCAAAACCAGCTTCCTGCTTTGAAGCTGGAAGAAAAATCTACAATGCATGTAGCTAAATTATATCGCACTGATTGTGTGACAAAGTCATTGTTTTATTTATGATGATGTGTTAAACTAAGATATTTCAATTTTTGTGACGTTTATTCAGTACCTTCGCGTTTTCTCAGTCAAAATGCTTGGCGACTAATTTTTAGAAAACTTGACAGTAGACGTTCATAGTTTTTATATGCTGAACAAGCATGAAAGAAACATAATTGAATATTTTCCATCTTATCCGGTACACGGTAGTGTGCCGAAAAGTAATTCAGCTTCAAACAATGGATAAAAGTGGTTTCTACAAATATCAAGACGCTCTCCTCGTAACTTTATTGAAGAGGCTGCGAAAGTATGCATCATTAGAAGTGGCATTCAAATTTCTTGATAGTTCTTACAAGGCAGGAGAATTTACACACACACACACACACACGCCCGCGCGCGCGCGCGCACACACACACACACACACACACACACACACACACACACACACACACACACACACACACCACACCACACCACACCACACACACACCACACACACACACACACACACACACACACACACACACACACACACACACACACACACACACACACACACACACACACACACACACACACACACACACACACACACACACACACACACACACACACACACACACACACACACAGTCGATCCGAGCCCACATATAACGACCCCACTTAAAACGAACAATATCCGCGTGACCATGAAAACATACATTGGTTCAATGGCACAAAATCACACTTACAACGAACGCCTCCCAGCGCCGCTTATCAGTTACAGCGAACTGAATCAGCTCTCTGCCGACTTCCCGGGAAACAACTTTTGACCACCGATCTGGCATCGGCGAGGTGCCCATACATTCTTATTGTTAAACGCCGACCCTGCCTCCGCGACCCTCTAGTAGTTGCTGCTCTTCCTGACCCATAGAAGAAGAAAAGCTGTTTCCTTCCCCCATGCCCCGACTGTTTTTTGTTACGCACCCCTCCGTCCTTTGTCCCCCTGCTACTCTGAGTACCCCACATTGCCAGAGGAGGCCCGGGTTTCACACTGTCACCGATCTTTCGAAGACCTGTCGGCCATCTACCCTGTTTTTGATCGCTGGTGCTGTCGTTGGCGTCGCCAGCCTGGAGTGACCAGACCATTTGCCAACATCGTCGGCCACCGACTGTATTTGATAGTCTGCGCCTAGTGGACGCGCGTACGCTACCCCACCGACTCTGATAATTTGCGATTCGTTCCGTGTTTAGGACTTGTTCTAGCTCACTTCGCACTCGGCTCAGCATGGCTTTTGCTCGCGTGCGGAAGCACGAAAATGGCTGTTAATTTGCGTGGAACGAATTGCGAAATATCGAAGTTCGTGAGGCCACACAGACCCGCCGGACTCAACAAAACGATTTTTCGACTGCAGTCACCGATTCTGCAAAAACCGCTGCGCGCACCAATCCAGGCGGCCGTGCTTTGACTTTTTCTACGTGCGAGTTTCGCGGACCTTTCAAGCAAGCTACCCAACTTGCCAGCTTCCCATGTGTTTTGGTTTTCAAGGTCGCCCTCCCGCCCTATCCTCCCCTCTCTATAACGCAGCTCCTTCGAGCCAGTGTGGTGACGCCAGCCATGCTGGCTCGAATTAGTTTCGTTTTCTGGCTGGAAACAGCCCAGAACTGTTCCACGCGTTTTGGCATGTGTGCGCTCTTGGTGTGCATGTGTGATCAGGATGGCAGACGGGAGGACTAGCACGCTTTTTCCTGCCGCTCAACAAAACGTCGGAAGTGTGACCGCTTGGCTTGAGCGTAATCCACGTGATAGATGCCGCGTTGCAGAGCACTTGCTCATAGCTGTTGACCACTTGGCAGCCTACTTGCCGCTACGGGCGTCCCGGTATTCAGCAGTGGAGATGTTTAATATTTCGTGGGCGGCGGTGACGGCTACATATGCACAAACTGCTTTCACGAGGCAGACTTCGTTGACGCCAGGCCCGATGCCAAGCCTGAAGCTTCCGAACGGGACCACTGCGGCGGCGATTTCTGGCGGTGATTTCTGGCACCGCGTCAACTCTGACCTGGGAGAGTGGGCGGGACATCTGTTGCAATGGTTTAATTATGGCCGACAATAATGCGGACACTGCGAAACCATGCACGGATTGGGGCATTGTGAATGAAGTACGTGGCGAGAGCAATTTAGAGGAATCGGGTTGCGAGAACAACGAAACTGGAGCCAATGCCTCATGCAACTTACGCCACGGGCTTCGGCGAACGAGCACCCTGCCGTTTTAAATGAACTCTAGACCGCCCTTATCGCTTCTGCTCTTCGTAATACATGCATAACGGACTTTTGGGGGCAAAATGGTTTGTGTTTTCACTGGCAACTTTTTTAAAAGCTGTGTTCATTTACTACGAACTTTCGAATACAGCGAACGGATGCCGCATCACGCTCAGGTTCGTTATAAGTGGGCTCGACTGTATATATATTGGCACAAGTTGTCTGGCCCCTTCTGTACTCACAGGCCCGTTCCTGTTTTGTGTATTCCGCCACACACCAGGTAAGAAAAGTGCGCACTTAAATGCTGAACTGCACGTGTCACCATACCACATGCTGAAGAAGACTGGTGGCTCATAGAATGACTAGCACGAGACAAAAAAAGGTTGAAGAAGACGTCAACGAAGTTTTGGAGAAGTGAGCGTAGAAGTTCTTCACAATTTGAGTAGCTTGAGTTAACGGGCACAGGTTTGCCCTAAACAAATAGTTGTTTTAACTGAAGATGCTGTATTTGTTGCTTACAATATATATACTGGCGTGAAGTGGCTTATATATAAAGCAACGACACTGACAATAGGCCTCAACTCCTCAAACAAAATGATGAAATTGCAGGGATAAACTCAAGCTATATTTATTTATGCATGACATTCACTTCCCCAGTTTTATATTTATTTATTTCTATTTATTTATTTTATATTCATTTATTCATATACCCTAAAGGCCCATTTGGGCATTACAATACAGCAGTATAGTAGTTACAATACAGTAACAGTAATATAACAATACAATACAGTACAGTAATATAACTACAGTATAGTAGTTACATAGTAGTTACAATACAGCAGGGTTATGTGCAAAACAGAAATATTTACACAGAACACGAAAAATAAAAAGGTAAACACAGAAACAAAGTTCGCACCAAAGAAGACATAGTAATGCAATGCAGCACTCAGTATGGCATAAAATGAGGTGTGCGATAAGTGATGTAATAATGGTACTATACTAAGCAAAAGAAAGCCACAAAATGTTACATTTCTACTTTACACATCTCCATTAATTTGCTAACAAACATGTCGTGATCATGCACAGTTACAACATCGCTTGGTGGTTCATTCCAATGATAAATCGCGAGAAACAATGGCGAGTCACGAAGGAAGTTAGTACGGGCAAACATGGGTTGTATTTTGTAAGCATGATCCACATGTGGAAAAATGCGGTGAGCTGGTTCAAATTGTGAATGTAAGAAACATGACTCACTGAAATAAAGCCCGCTGAAATGAGACAGCAGTGCAATAAGCCTACGTATTTCTAGAGTAGGTAATTTCAACGACGTTTTAATAGGTGTTATGCAATATAGCCGAGAATATATTTCTGTGATAAAGCGGGCTGCTTTGTTTTGAATGGCCTCAAGTTTATGAATATATTTGTGTTTATGAATATATAAATTTGTCGACGATACATAGTAGCGTGACAGAGACTGCCAAAAGACAAGCGCGTTGGAGTGCTATCGGGATTCGCCAGTGCCCGTGGAGAGGCTAACATGAAAATATGGAATGGATGGTTTTATTGTCGATAGACACATAAGTTAAACGTTGGGCGCACAAGATGGAGGCAGAACAAAACAACAATGACAAATAATGTGACAAGTAAACGGACATGAGTATAGCCGTGCATTTATGCCATTTTTTTTTC